CCTAGAGGACAAAAAATTCCTTAATTTTCAATTTTTGCTGCTCTTGGTAACCTCAAAATACCTAAAATCTTTGCTCGAGAAAGTTCACTAGCATTCATGATTGTATTATAGTGTGATTTGAAAAATTCTTATACGTAGCCAAGATCGTTATAGAAATTTCATAACTTAAATGTCCCATATATTCAAGGTAGGAGTCTATATTTGTTGTCTTATTTTCATTATCTTTTCAATAAAATCTTAACGCCCACCTCAATTTTGAAGTGTTAAAACTACAACGTTCATGATGTAACTTTTAAAATCTTGACATCCACCATTCTTTTGAAATGTCAAAACTCTACTTAAATCTCACCATAATATTTAAGGTAGAACCTATAAAATTTTCAGGTTTTGAGGTGTCAAAATTTTATCGGAAAATAACAACTTAGGGTCCCACATTAAATTCATAATGGCACGACTTTTTTATTTTTGCTTTTTTCAAATATGGTTCGTTAGGTGCCAAGATAATTGACCTCAAGAATAGTAGGGCAATCTTAACTAATAATTATGTGTGATATGATACAAGGCTTTTCATTGTTGAAAAGAATTGCACTCTAAACTTGAGTCAAATTTTATTATTGAAGAGTAATTAAACTTAACAGAATTTTAGTAAGTTTTTGAATTTACTTTCACATGGATGAAATAGTAAATGACCTTAATATCTAGCTCGAGTGCTCAACCACTTTGTCTTGAAGTCAATCACTGGCTCTAGCTCTTCAGTGCCATTATTGGTGTCTTTAATCACTCCACTGCACCAACTGTGATGTCATGTGCTTGGTCAAATCCAAAGTCTCCGGTTAAGCAATGTCGAGGTCGAATTCTAGGAAGTTGTCCCTTCTATAGCTATTCTAAGTTCAAGTAAGAGGATGTTTGATGGGATTAAAATTAGATTTTTTTAGTAGATTGTGATAGAAGTTTATGAAATATGTGGTTGAAAAGGTGTGAGACCCATGAAAATATGATTAATATTGATTGTTTGCCTTTAACTTAGATTAAAATCAAACTAAACATGAGCTAAATATGTCTTGTGAAGTGTTTATAAATAGATAGAAATGTGTAATGAATGGGTGTGTAATGTTCATGAATTTCATGAAATATGTATATAAAAAATAGTTTGAATGTTAATTTTTTTAACCACCTCTTTATATATGGTCAAAATGATAGGCCTCATAAATGGCACCTTTCAAATTACCTAGTACCGACTACACAATATAAATATATTGTTTTTCCTTATCACAAGAATGTAAAAAGAGCAAGTTACATAGAGTTTGTTTGGTTTGGATTAAAATTTGATTTTAATATAGTCAAAGTCAAACAATAAATATTAACTATATCTTTCGTGAGTCCCACAACTTTTCAACCACACATGTCAAAAATTTCTATTACAATCTACTAGAAATCCTAATTTTAATCCTTATTAAACACCCTCATAAACCTCAAGAAAAATTACAGACACATCCTCCCTTTTAAAAATTTTGAAAAACCACCCTTAAGGTTTACTCTTTGTAATATATTCCTCTTGTGTAGTTACACATTTTAATCATACCACAAAATTTACTTACACCACCGCATTATAATTATGCCACCACATTATAAAAACATATTTTCAATATATACACCCCAACAAATTGACAATTATATTCCAAATCCAATACAAATTAAAAACCTCATCATTTTTCTCATCTCATTATTTGATTAGCTTATTCATTTTTGGGCTTTATTTTTAGTTAACATTATTTAAACAACTACAAAAAGACTAATGATTTTTTCCTCAGCGATCAATTTACTAAAATACAATTGAAGAATTGTTCTTCAACTCCCAGATCACGATTCTTCAAAATTCGTAGTGGTCATATAATTACCTTTTTAATATTATATTATTATTATTATATATAAACCATATACTATCCTTTTCTTATTTATTAAAATATAGTTTTTCATACTTTTGATTTAGAAGAAATCTTTCACCTAAAAAAATATCATTATAAATCTTTTTATAAAATTATTCGATAAGATTCTCTTTTTTCAAATACAATAGAGAAATAATTAACAAATCAACATAAATAAATATTTTACAATAATTTAATGATGTTAGTTGAAATTTTTATTACCGTTATAAATAATTTTATAATATTTATAATTTATTAAATTCAATTTACTTCAAATATGATTTACAAATAATTAATAAATCAACAAAAATAAATGTTCTAGAATAATTTAATGGAGCTAGTTTAATATTTTAATACAATAATAAATATTGTTACAAACTTAAAAAAATATTAAATGTGATCATTTTTTTTTCCAATACAATTGACTGATAATTAATAAATCAACATAAACAAATATTTAACATAATTTAATAAAGCTATAGAAAATTCATTAATGTTTTATATTGTTTGTCTTAGTAGCATTTTCTATACTTTTATATTTTTAATACTCTTTATATTACTATATTGAGCTTAAATCAAAGGTCATGATTATTTGTTAAATAAGTGGTCAAATTTATGAGTAAAAGGAACAACTCCAATATTCAAAATGCCAAAAAAAAAAAAAAATTGCATCAAAGTTTTAAATCTTATATTCTTTTAATTCTTATTTTATTGAATATATTGAATAAATTATAATTTGTCCATTAAATGATAAATCAATATTCACAAAATATGATCCAGGTTAAATAACTATACATAAAAAAGAAAAAAAATATAAAATTAAATTAATTTATTTTTACCTAATTTAAATAAAGAAAAAAAACAAATAAGAAAGAAAGCAGCATAATAGAGAATGCGAAAATGGAAAATTTATATTAAGACGTGAGGTTTGAAATTTTAAATGCAGGAGTGTTAATTTAATTGTTACACGTTTTTAGGATGTTTATGAAATTTCTTCTTATTAAAAATTTTACTCTTTAAATTTAAAAATATTTTCCATTGTACATAACATTCTTTATAAATCGATTGACAGCTTATCTCGTTTCCAAGCTTTTAAATGTTGGACCATGCTTGAGGTACATGATAGTGATTCACAGAACCCCTATCAAGCACTTACAACATAGGGGAGGGTAGAGTTTTGTGCAATTTTTTTTATACAGATGGGTCCCGCATGAAACCTACATGCTACGAGCGTCGTTGGGGATTGTGTCATGGTAAAACAGCAAAATCCTTAAGCCATGTTTGATAGGGCCAAATTACATAGATTCCACCCATTTTGTGGTGTTTGATAGCAAAATTTTACATGGAATTTGGTTATCTTGCTTTTCTTGAAAATTGAAATTTCTTGGTTTTCATTGAAAACCATATGGTGGGAATTGGTTTTTAGGGTACTGTTTACATTTTTTTAATTTTTTTTTGGGCAATGAAAACAAATTATATTTTTAATTGTAAAAAAAAAAAATTTTTTTAATTGATAATTTTCATGTAAAATAAAATCAAACGAATACCAAAAGATAGATGATTTTTTTATTTTTTTTTAATGGAAACAAAATTTTATCTCCAATATCAGTAAATTCTATCCCTTTACTTAACAATTTTGATGTAAAACAAAGTCAAATGAACACTAAAAACATTTTTATTTCAACATTTTCTATATGAAAAATTATATCAATCAAATATAATAATTGAGAATTTCCAGTAAAGCAATTTTTGGATAATTCAATTTTCTAAAATTTATTTTCTTTCCACTCAAATTCCATCTTTGTAACCAATCGGAACTTAAGAGGGTATTCTCTTTGTGTTTCAGTTTTATGTTTTGAGTTTTAAATTCATTTTGAATTTTGTGTTTTGAGTGTATGTTTTGAAATTGTTGAAAATGCGTTCTTTTTGTTAGTTTCTCAAAACAAAAAAATGAATTTTTTTTTTGAAATTTTGAGAATCACCACAACACCACCTCAAAACACCAAAAAAAAAAATTAATTAATTTTTAATTTTTTTTTGAAATTTTGAGAATCACTACACCACCACCTCAAAAAAAAATAATAATAAAATAAAAAAAATAAAAAAAGGTGTTTCCCGCGTTTTCAATTTTTTCAAGTTTTACACTGAAAACGTCCAAAACGGCAAAAAAGTCGTTTTGTGTTTTCTTCACAAAATTTTTTTTTCGTTTTCGAAAATTCGTTTTTGAAAACGATAAAGAGAATACGTTTTCACCGTTTTGAAAAATCGAAAACAGAAAACGGCCCGAAAACGGTGAAGAGAACAGGGCTTAAATATTTTGTTAACCGTACAAATTTGTCCCACTATTTTCAGTCAAAAATGACATACTTTAGTGACAAGGACGCACCAGGAAATTTCCTAATGCAGTGCACGACTTTGATTGACCTTAAATCAACCAATTTTGCTACTCAGCCCCCACCTCAGCCCTGATAAGAAATTTAGCCCCTGTTTGTATAGCAGTTCCCTAAATCAATTGTTTAGTTTATTAATGAATTAATTAAAAAAGAATTGTAAAAATATAAATTTAGGACCTTTGGGTTTTCGAAACTTAAATTTAGTTTTAATTGAGTTATCGAATTCAAAATGTCAATATCCATCGTCTAAATTGATGGAAGTTGCTTAATTAATTATTACACCGTACCGATCTTTATCGTAATCATTATGTGACTTGCTAACGTTCCATTTACATCAACCCAAAAATGTTAAAATAAAAACAAACACTTTTTTTATCCATAGATATTGTCATCATCATTTGTTTATACGACACAATGAATTGATTATGTAGAAGATCAATTACAATCGGATTGTCAACTAAGTAAATTCTATCGATTACGAGAATGATATGTGATATAATATGACAGAGTTGTATATTTTGAAATTAAATTGAAGTTTAAAAAAATCAAATTGAGATAAATTAAAGTTTGATAATTTAATTGTCATTTAGCTGAAAGTTCAGTGACCCACTCTAAAAATGTCAACTTCAGAGTCGTTTAAATCCAATATAATAATAGGCCCGGCGGGCGATGACATGCCGTGTTAACTCCTCAGTCCTCTCTCCCCTCTGTCCACACTCTTTATAATTTATTTTAAACTTTCCACTACCTCCGCCACCGCGCTTCCTCCGTCGCGTGCCACCTTCTCCGATACGCTTTCTGGTGAAGCCTCTGATCTTCCAGTTATCATATATAATTATGGATAAGAACATTATGAGCTCCATGTAAAGAAAAAACAATTATTTGTTATTAGAAAGAAAACAAGAAAGTTAAACATCGTTCTGTACCCATGGCTTCCATCATTGGAGAAGGTAAAGTTAAAATTCGTAATAATTATCTCCTCGTTTTATTAGAACTAGAACTAGAATTTTTGTTTATCTGATTTGCATATTGTTTCTAATAGTCGGGAAGGATCTTGAAATGGGAGTCATAACTGAGCCCTCATTGACGTCGCCGACTCCATCTCCGAGGGTTCCGGCGCTCATAGTATCAAATTCCGGCAAGTCATTAGCTGGATCGAACTCCGGCAAGTCGTTGGTGGTTTCCAATTCCGGGAAAGCCTTGATCTTGTCTAATTCCGGCAAAAAAATGGACCAATCGGGGAAGAAGAAGTACGTGAAGCAGGTGACCGGGCGGCACAACGACACGGAGCTGCATCTGGCTGCGCAGAAGGGTGACGTGGCAGCAGTGAGGCAGATATTGAATGAGATCGATGAGCAGATGCTGCAGACAACGGGTGGCACCGAGTTTGATGCCGAACTTGCGGAGATCAGGGCAGCCGTGGTGAATGAGGTCAATGAATTGGGGGAGACTCCTCTTTTCACTGCGGCCGAGAGAGGGCATATTGATGTGGTGAAGGAGTTGCTGCCTTACACCACTAAGGAGGGGATCACCTCCAAGAACAAGTCAAGCTTCGACCCCTTGCACATTGCTGCGAGTCAAGGCCATCATGGTAATAGATTTTTCATGTTCATAGTTTAGATTAGAATCAGAAGTTTCCATTATACATTTATCTGCGTATTTGAATAGAGAGATTAAATTAAATTATATCTGTTGAAGAAACTTAGACACAGAGATACATGGATGATCAATAAGGATTCAAATCAAATTACTTTGTGCGCTCATTGAAGTATTGACCTATTGACCAGAATAAAATAAATGGCCCCAAAACTAATTAATTTCATTACTTTATAATTGGACAGGGAATTGCTAGTAGAATTAAAGATGGCAACTGTGAAATGTCTTTGTCCGCAGAACAATGACTATTTTTGTAAATGGCAAGAAACTAGTTAATAGCATTGCTGACATGATTTACATGATTTAGAAGGATTACTTCCAGATTCTCCGAATATGCAATTTTATCTCAATGCTTTCATATTCTATTTTATCTTTTTGGTGTATTTGATTGATTCTGTTCTGTGAATTTCATTGCCAAATACAAAATTTGTCTGGTATTTGTTTTGTTCTTCAAATGACAACTGCGTGTTGTTGCAAGGCTCAAGTAAAGCTGTATTTCCATAGCCTGTCTGTTACAGTTTAATTAACTGTGTTCTTTGTAGGTATTGTCCAGATACTGCTTGAGCATGATCCTGGGCTAAGCAAGACGGTTGGTCAATCAAATTCAACTCCTCTTACTTCTGCAGCGACAAAAGGTCATCTGGCAGTTGTTAATGAATTGCTTTCAAAGGATTCAAGCTTGGTAGAGATACCGAAATCAAATAAAAAGAATGCTTTACATTTGGCTGCCCGTCAAGGGCATGTGGATATTGTTAAAGCATTGCTTGAAAAGGACACTCAACTGGCAAGGAGAACCGATAAGAAAGGGCAGACTGCACTGCATATGGCTGTAAAAGGCATTAGTTGTGAAGTTGTAAAGTTACTTCTGCAGGCAGATGCAGCCATTGTGATGCTTCCAGATAAATTTGGCAACACTGCGTTACATGTAGCCACCAGAAAAAAACGTGCTGAGGTACTAATTACTGTTTCTGCTTCTCTAATTTCTATAGTTTAGTTCCTATTGAGCCCAAGTATTATTTGGTAAAGCTTCAGTTTTAGATTATGCTTTGCACCAAGTTCATGCCTACTTAACTGCACTTCACTTAGATATTTGAGAAGTGAATTGGCAATTCACATCAACTAGTTTATGAATATTTACCCAGCTCCGATACCATGTTGTAAGACCCCAAAATTTTATTGACTTAAATTTTGAGATGTTATCGATATTATTTCATAATCATACATCAAGTGAAAATATAAATTTAAAATTTAAAACCCTTAATTCATTTAAATACTCAAATGCTAAATTAAATAAAACACAATGTGTCGTAATATTTTGAATGGAAATAAATAGAAACACAAAATATCCTAATAGAATTATTCTTAGATGTTTTCCTAAAATTTTTTACTTGGCATCTCGCGTACCGCTCAACCTCCATCCACATCGACCGATCTAACCTGGAATGTTAAAATTGAAGGAATGAGTAATTTAAACTCAGTCTGTCCTTTCAATATTATAATTTTTTCTACATAATTTATTTCATGAAATGCTAATTGACCTACGGGTCCCAATGAAATGAAATGAAACGTGAGATTTCCTTTGCTCCACAAGTTGGTCATTTTGGCATAGTGGATTTAGTTAAATTTCTTTATTGGAAAAGTTTAATTTTGTAAGGACAGAAAAATTCGTATGATATTGTACATATAGCATGAAGAATATAAATCTGTAGAATATGTCTTTGATTCATACCTATTGAGAGCATTTTTAGCCAAGCCTAAATAGAGGCAAATGTGCTTCTTTTAAAAAAGAAGTAGCTTCTAAGCTTAGCCAAACATGTTTTAGCTTTGAAAGTTATTTTAAGTAACTGTATTTGCTAAATGTGTTTGAATTCTCTTTCAAAGTTGCTTCTTTTTCGAAACCTAAATACACAAATTGGCATTTTTAAATTCACCTCTTAACTACTACTTTCTTCATTTTTAGGCTTGGCAAAACGCTCCAAGGCATTGAAAAATAACCAAGCTGCCTGTAATGATTCCTAATTGATTCAAATATGCAGTCTCTGCACTGTTATCTGCTTTTCGGAAATTCAATCATATAATTACGAGATTGAATATCTTGGTAATTTGTTTTAGATTTTTTTACAAAATATACTCTTTTTGAATTTTCACTCTTTAATTTCATGTTTAAGTGTATGGCTATAGAACTTGACAAGATATATTTTATATGGATAAAGGTCCACAGTATTGAATTTTGCATGATGTGATGGTCCAACTGTACCTGTGTGATGGGATATTCTTTAACCTGAGTGTAGGTTTCTGGTTTTAAATATATATTGATGGCGTGGATTTCTGTAACTGTTCTGTTTCTTAATCTTGTTTTAGCAAGGCAAATTATTGTGTTAATGTGATTGTTCTAATCTTATTACAATATTGTAGATTGTGCATGAACTATTACTGCTCCGTGACACAAATGTCAATGCATTGACAAGAGACCATAAAACAGCCCTTGACATAGCTGAAAGTCTCCCTCTATCAGAAGAAAGTACTGAAATAAAAGACTGCTTAATTCGATATGGTGCTGTCAGAGCCAATGAATTGAACCAGCCGCGGGACGAGCTTCGGAAAACTGTTTCAGAAATCAAGAGAAATGTCCACACTCAGCTCGAACAAGCTCGTAAAACCAACAAAAACATGAATGGCATTGCCAAGGAGCTTAGGAAGCTCCACAGAAAAGGAATTAACAATGCCACTAATTCAGTCACTGTGGTGGCTGTGCTATTTGCAACAGTTGCTTTTGCTGCAATTTTTACGGTTCCTGGAGGTGATGATAAGAACGGGATGGCTGTGACGGTAAGCAAGCCGTCTTTCAAGGTTTTCTTCATTGCTAATGCTGTTGCCCTTTTCACATCTTTGGCTGTTGTGGTAGTGCAAATTACTGTAGTCAGAGGTGAAATAAAATCCGAGAGACGAGTTGTAGGGGTTATCAATAAGTTAATGTGGTTGGCTTCTGTTTGCACTACCGTGGCATTTATTGCTTCATCTTACATTGTTGTCGGAAAGCATAATAAGTGGGCTGCTGTTCTTGTCACCATCATAGGAGGAGTTATTATGGCCGGGGTTCTTGGTACCATGACGTATTATGTGGTGAAGTCTAGAAGGATACGGAAAGTGAGGAAGAAAGAAAAGTATTCGAGAAGTGGAACTAACTCATGGCATAACTCAGATTGTTCCGAGACTGAAGTAAACCCCTTTTATGCAATCTGATGCAGCCATGGCTTGAGACTGGCATCCTCCATCCCACGTGATGGTAAATATCAAGAATATAACCTGTTAGAGAATGCAATGTGACATTTACATGGTCTAATCTGTGGATACGAGACGCACAGTTTGGGCTGTCATAACTAGAGGATGTTTCGTGGAACTGACAGATAAGAGTACACACTGGAATTGACTGTGTTGAGATTTTAAGGTTGATCAGAGCATTATGTGTATGCTACACAGGGCAGATAAAACATCTCGTACTCTGAAGATCTTTGTATTGTTCAGGATGTATATCATAATAGTATCAGAACTTTTGCATACGTAAAACTCATTTTGATTTTGTTTACGCTGATCAACCAAGTGGCTGTACTAAACTAGTTTGGTTGGACACAGTGTCCTTTCACATGTACGTCTAAATATCTGTAATTTGCCAATTGATTTCTGTATTTCAAGTGCTAATGGAATTCTATGTTCTGAATTAATCTGCTATATTGAATTTAAACGTGCTACTCGTGGGCACAAGTTTGAGAGGTGATGGCATTATTTAGTTGACGAATTTTGAAAAGATTTATTCTGCAGTGTCCAATTCTATCTGAATTCACAATCACAGTGTATGATAATGCATACCAAAGTTCTCTTAAGACAACCACCGTCATGGTCACTCACCTGCAGGGGCGGAGCCAACACGTGGCGGGCCCCGGTGGTCGCTCGTGTTGGTTCCGTTGGAATTTTTTTCTCACGTTCACCTGGATTTTTAGATCTGCCACTGCTCACTTGTGAAAAATAAACTTGTTGAGGTTACTCGTGGAAAACAATCAACTAATGATAGAGGTGTAAAGTGGATTGGGAATGCTGGACCACATGCTCGTGTAGGTTTACATGCACAAGCAGGCTTTTTTCTTTATTGAACAAAATGGCTACGTTTAGAGGTGATGGCATTATTTAGTCTAAGATTTATTCTACAGTGTTCAATTCTATCTGAATTCACAATCACAGTGTATGATAATGCATACCAAAGTTCTCTTAAGACAACCATCGTCAAGGTCACTCACCTGCAGGGGCGGAGCCAACACCTGACAAGCCCCGAAGATCACTCGTGCTGGTTCCGTTAGAATTTTTTTCCTTACATTTGGTGGTTACGCTCACTTGGATTCTTAGATTTGCCAGTACTCACCTCTGAAAAATAAACTTGTTGAGTTTGCTCGTGGCAAACAATCAACTAATGATAGAGGTGTAAAGTGGATTGAAAATGCCGGACCACATGCCTGTAGTTGTGAAGAAACACATGCACAAGTGGGGTTTTTTCTTTATTGAATTGTTCATCAATTTTTCATAGTTAAGTTTAAACTAATTTCTAAACTTCAGTACTCAAGCACCTTCACATTTTTAGTGAAGTCCAGATATCAGTACCTAAGCGTTCTGTCACGGACCTAGTTTCGTTATACCCGAACAACTAGAACTGTGCGGCCTTAACGCTCGACAATTCTCGCACCTCACAAAAAAATGTTAAGTCAGCCTTTCCATGTTCACAAATAATTTAACTAAGGAGGATAATTTATACCCACGTTGAGAAGAGAATTTTGAAATAAGGGATATATGAAAAACAAGTAAGATTGGAAAATTTTCTTTGTACAAATGAAAGGGAAAACTTTAATAAACTCACTCAACTCTACATGATTTACAAATGAGACTTCCATCTCTATTTATAGGCAAAACTTAAACCTCCTTAAGATCAAGTTGCATTACTTTACAACCTATGCTTAGTTGGTCACAACTCGTGCTAGTTGTTTACAACTCATGCTTAGTTGTCGTCAAGTGGATAAGCTTACAACTTTCCTTGCAAGTTGTCGCCAAATCGATCTTAGCTTGCATAGTTGATATTATTCTTGTCAACTCGTGCTTAGCTTGCACTTTTGATAATATCTTTGTCAACTCGCGCTTAGCTTGTATTTTTGATAATATCTTGCAAGTGGCACAAGTGAACAAGTTGTGCAAGTTGCCCACTTGCATCCCAAAATATCCCGCTGTAGGTTCATGTATTTTTCCTCCTAAAATGGCTGGGTCGAGACTTAGAAAAACCTCATTAATGCCCTGGAAAATTGCACAATTTTAGGCGGCCTGCATTATTCCCAAAACAACTTGTTCCGTCCGGATGCAGCGTGCTGTCCACGCTGTTTTGCGCTCGCTACCGGGACGGATCGAACGCGACCGCGTGGGGGCGTAAGTGTTCGCTTTCAAGCATTTTTCATATGCATTGAACCTTCTGTACTTATTCTTTTAATTTGAAAGTCTGGACCGTGGCCAAAATGTAAAGGAAGAATAAGTGAAAAAGAGGGTCAATCCAAAAGTGCCAAAACAATTTCACAATGTAATGGGCACATCACAAGGACCTGCAATCATAACCACAGTTCCCATGTCTTGTTTACAAACTAACAACTTTCACTTATCTCATCTTCCATTGTGTCTTCTTTCCTTTACGATGGTGCACAAACGAACATGACACGGCCCGAAATAAGGAATTTAAACAAAAACCTTAATGACACAAATCTGGAATCAACCAGGAAAAAAAGGAAGATAAACTCCAGATGTTTTACTAATTCAAAGAACTGTCTATAAACATAGAATTAACCTTTATTTATGAGGGCTTACATTAAAATCTAGTTTAAAAGCAATAAAATTGAAAAGAATTCCATATAAATTAAATGACAAAAATAGCAATAAAACTCAAAAAGCAGTTTTCGAGTCTTAAACGAACTTAGATGGCTAAAATCCACCATACGTCATGGGAAAGCTATGTGTTTAGTCCGGCTCATCATTCCCTTTCCGGAAAGGATAAGCCCAAATCGGAGCTGGAACACCAAATCTACAATTTTATGTTTTTCCTTTTCGGTGGTTCCTCAATCTACTCGGACATATGTTCAACATCAATACAAATGGTGTATGTATGCCTTTAGTGTTTGTTCTATATGGCCTTGTACTTCATGTTATGTCATGGAAGTTTTTATTGATAATAATTTATGAAAGGCTCTAAAAGATGGATAAGGCATTCAATAATACTATAGTCGTGCTTTAATTATGGTGGTCGTGATCCTTCTGATAAAGAGAGAATCAAGGTTCGGCCAAGAAATGCCTTCATTGAGGCTACTGAGAACAAAACCATTACTTTAGTTGATTTCTTCGAAAGTAGCAGTGATGTAGAGATGAAATTTGACACTGAGGAAGAAGCAGCAGGTATTCTCTTTTAACTGGTAGGAAGAAAAATAGTTCAAGATTCTTAAGATTGAAGTGTACTTAGTGAGATATTAATTACTTGTTTGCTGATATTTTTCTGTGTCACAATTCCAAGAATCAGGATAGCGTATATGGTATTTGAAAGTTGAATCTATGTTGAGTCACTACTATCAGCAATTAGGAATACATGCACCCTTTATGGTGATTTTTCTGCATATGACATTTTGTCACATTTTTTGAGTCTAGAAATTGATTTCTACAAGCTAAATTGAGATGCTCAGGCAGTGTGGTCACAGATGCATTTGGCAAAGCTCAATCCAACTCCTCCAGGATGCAGCTAATATAGGACATGAAATAGCTAGAGAGTTAAAAACGCAGTCAATAAACTTCTATCAAAGTTTCACTGGTTACCTATCTATTGTTTTCCAACTCGATCACTTAATTATATTTTTGTTTCAGTTATGTCTCTGTGTCCACTTCGATCGACTACACTGATGGAAGGATCTAACATGACAGGCGGAAAAGCAAACATGGGCTTGAAAAACAATTAGTCAGTCACTAACTTGTACAGTTATACCCTTGTATGAAATGAATCCAAATGCTGTTGTTATAAGAGTCAGAAATTCACAGATTCTAGCTAGTTTCGAGTCAAGAAATGGTAAAAATGATATTTTGTCTTCATGATCTGGTCTTAAAAGTACTTACTTTATTTGCAGAGAAGGACAGTGTCAAAGTTTAGAGCAAAAAATTTCCTGGAAATTATTCGTAGAAGTTTTCTTTTTTTTACTTCGCTTCTATTAGTTTTGGCTAGTTTCATGATCAGTATATCAAACGAAAAGCTTCTTTCTGCTTTGCAGCCATGGAAATCCTTTTAGGAAATTAATATAGCATACAAAATAGACCATATCTTATGAAAATTATTGTCTTTGGACTCCTAGTTCACAGAGGATTCACTACACTTGTGCAGCAGTGGACTTGACACGCGCTTCTTTTTTTTAACTTCTTGCATTATTGTTTTTGGTAGACTGTTATGAGCAGAAATGGGATCGGTTTTGGGTGTTAGGTATGGGTCGAATCATGATAAAGACAGTTATTGGGCTGTATAATTTCCAATTTGAAAGTCGACTTCTTGCAAAGTAGATGGAGTGGTGATTAAGCGCTCGTCTTGTGCCAACATGCATCCTATGACATAGCGTGATTAACACTGAATTCCTAATTCTGAAAGAAAACACTCATAAGCATAAATATATAAATTGTATATCTATACAGTAATCACCGAGAAACTATTCCTAATTTAGCACTTGAATGGACTTTTTATTTGTTTTTCAATTAGACGTTGAAAAACTTAAATGCTGCTAACATCTAGTCTCTGTTGATAATTGGAAGCAGGGATTCCAGGCAATGAAGAAAATCCAGATGTATTTCTTGAATCAAAGAACACTTGGGACTTTTTGCAGTGAGCAATGGCTGCCTCAATTGAACCATCAATTTCTGTTGCACTGCTGCTACTCTTGCGGAAGTGAAACTCGTGAAAAGCATTCAAATTAAACGAGCAGGACGAGGACAAGGAAGAAGCACCGGATGAAGATGAGCACTTACTTTTTGTTGCTCCTGAGAATGAGGACCTCCTATGGACATAATTATCCTCAGGAATCCCCTCTTTCTCAATGCCCTTCATTATAGTAGCTAGGCAAGGATATGCAGCTCCTTCAATATTGCCAAATGAATTCTTATTTTTGGACAAATTTTCAGGTTCTACATTGCAAGTTGCAGCCTTTGCACAGGAGGACTCATCAGATCTACTGAAAAATGATTTCAGATATGCCTTTAACTTGTGACCAAGTATAGAATTCTTAATCAGCTTAAGTTTCTTAGGCCAAGATTTTTTCGGATGATTACTACGGAAAAAACTGCTCAATTCAGTAGACCACTCGAAGAAATACTCGTCATCCATGTTCAGTTCACAACTCACCCTGCAGGTTTCCGAGGATGATATATTGTTGCCTGATTCTTCTAGTGGGGTGCTGGAAGGTGCTTTCTCTTCTTCAAAAGCCTCTTTTGGTTTCGAGCTTTGCATAAGTAGTTTTTGGAGCATTCGCAAACGGGGAGAAAGATGGAGGGGCAAAAGTTTTCCTTTATAGAAGAGTTCATCAGCTGGGGAATTTGTAGTTTCTTTTGAAATGAAACACGATGGGAACTCAAACTCTCTGCTCTGTGGTGGAGAAGTATTTGTTGAGCAAGAAGACAAGTCCATATCTATGTAGTCTTCATATGAAGAATCATACGATGGAAGAGTTGAGGCCATTGATGCTTATGGGGAGCTCAACTTAGTGAAGGCAGTGGAAAGGTAGAGCATCCCTTAAAGAAGGGATAGTTGCAAGTGTGAGAGAAAAAGAATTGTCAGGCTTCCAAATAATTTATGGAGTAAAATAATTTCCCTCTGAAAGAGAGATTTTTGCATGGTAATGGAAAAATTGGGTGATTACTTTTATATTTTCTATTAATGTGAATTAAGATTATCTAAATTTTGAATTTCAAGATGGGGTTATACTCCAAAAGATTAAGTAACAATAATCATAAAGTTTCAAATGCCCACATGTTGAACAAATCTGAGACTGCTAAAAGGAAGAGTACAAAAAATTCAAGCTTACTTTTAGAGGAAAATATTTCCCATTTCAATTTATGTTCAAATAACCGATTAAACTAATAATCTGATAACTTAGTCTTTGTGTTTGTGTACAAGACAAGGTCGATAATGAGAACTCTCGTAGTATTAACTTATTACGCAAATTATAATTATATCTGCTTAAAAGGATGGGCATTTCACTCGAGTCCAAAAGCATTTCTCTTTTTCCTAATTAGGATCGAGAATTATTTCCTTTCGTGGAGTTATTTTTTGCTGTATCTTAAGAAACAGGCTGAGCCCCCCTTTGTTAATGCATCAGATTGGAAACATGATTTTTCACCTGACAAACTTAAAAAGTAAGCACTCTGGCCTCTCTTTTCAGGCAATTATTAATGGTATGCTCAAACTTTAGTAGGGAACTTTTACAAGAAGTATAAATGACCAACTTTCCACCTGTAGAGGTAGTAGTGTCTTTAGGAGCTAGTAAGATGCTTAATTCAAAAAAGAATCAAGCTTTATTTGTACTTAATTGTAGATTCAAGCTTTTTAAGCACAATGATCTAGGAAAAATGGCATTAGATTATTTTTGTTGCCAACAATATTGTATGATTCGAAGATTTTTCTCAAAAATCTATCTATGAAGGTAAAGGCTCATTTGAACGAGTCTATATCTTCTTTCTCTTAATAGAAAATGTTGACCTCCAAAAATGGACCAACATAAACTTGGGCCCCACTCATCTTACATAGACACGAGACAAACCATGTGTATGAGGAATTGCTCCTTGAAACGCAAGCCAATAGCGTGTTTAAGCACCAGGGTAAATTAATCAAATATCGAAGCTCAAAGGATAATAGTCAATTGTAAACACTCAAAAAGGGGAAAGGTTGAGGGAGAAAAATGTAAGAACAAAGCATTAGTAGCTTGAATTATAGTTGCCTTATTCCTTAATTGGTACAATGAGTGGTATTTATAGTATTACAATTAGAATTTTGACCATTGGATGAAGCGCACATGGTGTCATCTGATCTATCAGGACGTCCCATCTCAGATGTCACATCATCCACTTGCCTTGAATTATACTTGATTATCTAGGAACCACCCTAAGTTTTCAGAATTTATTTAATGATTTGTCAGGATTTGACTTATTGGTTTGTTGATTATCACGTCAATCGTTTCTACTAGATATTGAGGATCTCCTTGGGAACTACTCCCTAAGGGGCAAGGAACAAGGGCTTTGTTTGTTGTAAGCTTTGGCGGCTTCAGCGAGTGTCTTCTCTTTGCTACCTTTTTACTATTTTTGATGATGTAGGTGTTGACAAGTTGATGCCACGTGGGCGCACTGAGTCTTGCGAGATGACACGTGGCGATGATTGGAGCCTTGTTTGACGAGGCATAACATTAGTCCTCGAAGTTTATGTATGGTAATTTATATAATGCATGAAATTTGTTTGTCAGAGCTGAATTGTTTTTGTTGTGGTGATCATTTTCTTGTAAAATTTCTTGCAACACTTCAGTCCCCCGAGTCCAAGTATAACTACTTATGTCATATTTGGAGTTCTAAAGAAGTAAGGTGAGTTGTTGCTCATATTTGTTTTGCTGGTGTTGAAAACTGGGTTTTGGGATCTTTACGTTGTTTGAGGCACTAGTTTATTCTAAAGGGCCTGAATCTTGAATTTGGAAAAATTGTTGGCAAGGTGTGGTTGTTTCAAAGTGCTTGTGCTTGGAATTTTGGATTTTGAAAAATTTCTAACAGAGCGCTGTTGTTTCGAAGCACCTATGTTTGGAAATTTTAGTTTTGAAAAATTAATGGTGAGGCACTGTTGTTCCGAAACACCTATGCATGAACATTTGAATTTTGAACATTTGCTGGCCAGGCACTATTTTTCCGAAGCACCTATGCTTGAAAAATTGTTGGCGAGGTGCTGTTATTCTAAAATGCCTATCTTTGGAATTGGGATTTGTGTTAATGATTTGATAACGTGTACATTTTCAAGAAAAAACAACTGAACCGGTCCAACTTCCTATACATGCACTCATCATAACGATGATTGTTGCACAGTTGCTTCAAGACGACACGCTTTTGCCAATGCATGGTATCGACTCATTAGATCTTGATCATTGAATGCAAAGCGATTTTGAAGTGGATGGTTCGGATTTGGGGATCAGAATAACGTTCCAGATGTGTTAGAGCCAGATCTGGATCCAGATCCAATGGCTAGGATTAACTGACTTTGCTTATAAAGGGCAGATTTCATTCATTTACAGCCTTTTACTTTGCCCATGTTTGGTTTGGATTAAAATTCAATTAAAATCTCAAGTCAAAGTCAACAATTAATTTTAACCACACATTTTATGAGACCCAAAACTTTTTAACCACACATTTCATCAAATTTTATCAAAATCTACAAAAAATTCGTTTTTAATCTCTACTAAACAGAGCTTTGTAAATTTTTGATCAAATCGCTCTTAGCATAAAAATCAAGCTTTTCCAGCAACTATTTGAACTCCGACAATTGCTCTTTTCTTCTTTATCCTTATAAGTTATCTTCCATGAAACCTTCATTCCTTTTCATTTTTCTTTTAAACATTCTAAAATGAGCTATGATTTCGATAAGGAGATGATAGACCTAAGGGCGTTGGCTTCGGAGATGGGGATGTCTGTGAGGAATACGGTCGTGCTGGCCTAGGCCATTCTGTTAGGCCGAGGTATTTGGGCCATGAATGGGGGCCACATAGATTATGAGGCGGATTGGGGGGTTGCCAAAATTCTTTCTACTATAAGCTCTACAGACCTAGCATAGATTTGGGAAAAATACTGCATCCCTAACACCATCGAACTCCTAGCCCCAACCTTTGAAGAAAGGGCTTGTTTTTCGCAGCAAGACTACGTGGCCATTAGTGAGTTTATCATTAAGGAAGAAATACTTCTATCTCTTCACCCTTTCTTTAGGGCAGTTTTGAGGCTCTATGGGTTAGCTCTCCAACTCCTTCCAAATGCATAAGCCTAAATGGTTGGGTCATTTATGCTGTGAAAACAGACCTCCCAAAAAGAGGACATATCCCTTTATATTTTTTAGACCCTCTTTCAGCCTAGAGTTTTCGGCTAAGGAAACTCCAAAAGGGTGGTACTACACGACTCCGTGGGGTCATTCACCCTTTGTGGTGGGGCTTTCCTTCTCCATAAAAACATGGAAGTAATCCTCGTTCTGGGCCAAGAGAAAATAACAGACCTGCCAGAGTGATACTCTGCCTTAGATAACTTGTCATATACAATATTCTGAAGCCCCTAAGTGTTCTAACTTGTGTGTGTTTTCTTACTTTCTTTCAACTAGTTCTAAACTTTTTCTTCTTTTTGCAGGTCTAGTTGATCATTTCAAGCTCTCCAGGGAAGAGTGGGCTGTTGTAGAGGACATATGCCGATATCCCTTGCCTTTACGTGATTATTCACATTTGATAGAGAACCGCCACTTCTTCATCAAGATCAACTTGATTGCTTCAAGAAGTAATATTTGAATGCTCGTAAGTGGATTTTTCATTATTGAGTTACCTGACCTCACTGTTATAATTTTATTTGGCAGAGAAGTTTAAGAAGAAAAAGCACCGTGCTCTTGACATGGCATCTATTTTTGTTGCAACTTCCACTTCTAGGAATAAAGGATTAAAAACAACCTCCCAGGCTGCCAAGCACATTTGGGATAAGATGGAAAATTTTAGCAAAAATAATGTTGAGAAAGACCCAGATAAGAGAGCCCATCCTAAGGATAAGGGCAATGGGAAGATGGTGGAGTTGCCCAAGAAAAAGATTACCCCATTTTCTTTAACTAGGGTTAGTGGTTCTATCCAGCAAGAAGTGTTTCCTTCAACTGACAATTTGTCCCCTCTCTCTTGAAGTTGATGGCGGTCTCTATAGTTGTAGCAAGAGAGGGGCAAAAGAGGCTAAGCAAAAGGGACCTTGGTCGCTAGAAGATGGCAAAGAAGGGTTGGACGTTGGCCAGTGATGCCATTGCCTTTCTATAAGGAAAGTTGGTCCTGGCGAAACAAAAAAAAAAAAAAATTATTTGAAAGGGAATGAGGATGAACTTGCCCTCGAGGCTCTTTCACTTTTGTCTCTGAAGGTCCAGACAGCCACTGCCACCTATTACAAGGTTTGAATTAATAGGTGGCATAATTTTTTGGAGAATACTGATGCGGTGGACATATTTACCACCATGGTCAGCCAAGCTAGTAAGACCTTCGAAGTGGTCATAGAGGCTGAAGACCATTTTAAAAACCTTCAGAGAAAAATAAAGAATTCGTTGACAAAACTAGAAGGTTTGTTGATGAAGCAAAGAAAGTCAATGTTTAAATAGATGCTGCAAAAAGGCTCTGCAGATTAGAAAGTCGATGAAGCTCGCTTCCGCATTGGCAGAATTAAAATTTGAAGAGAGAAGTTCACTTGTCCCTAAGTGAAGTGGCTTCCTTAACGAAGGGAATGGAGACTTTTGATGCCCATAAGAAGATAACGGTTGAGGCCTTAGAGGGGGGTAAACAAGGAAAATGCAGCCCTAAAGCAAAAGGTCGAGGTGTTGAATTCCATGATTTCGGCCTCACTAAAGAGGTTAGGGGCCAAGGTACGAAGTCCATTTTGTTTGGTACCAATGCTGTAGAGCACTAAGTCGCCAATTTTCACTTAACTGAA